ACGAGTGCATTCTAGAGATGAACCTATAATCAAGTAGGGTTCCACTTTGCGCTCATGCAATATAACTTGTTGGATGAGTACGAATGTATAACTGTGTCTATATGTTTATAGAAGATATACTATTAAATATTTAGACCAAACAAAAGGGACCCATGAGGTATTATTTGACATACATATATAATGAATTAGTATATGTTATATAGGGGATAGTAGTATTATCACTCATTGATTAGTTATATAGGGGATAGTAGTATTATCATTCATTGATTAGTTGCTAATTACAAAATTAAAGAACTAATGATGAGGGTCAACGGGGTACATGTTGTTCCATGCATTGCTGGTTTTGCCTGTTGTTCGATGATTTCAAGTAATGCTCTTTTCATGCAATTTTGATAATCACTTTTTTTTTTAATATCAACTCGCACTTAATTGTATTTTCTTCTCTTCTTTTGTAAATAATGCTATATTCTGTGTTTTAAGTTTTAACTAGATAGTTACCCGCCTTATACGCGGGATAATATGATATGCGAGTTATTGGAAAAACTATTATACGAAATCTAAAATTCGTTTATATATATATGAATTTTGCAATTCTTTTGTATAGAAATGTATCACACCCGTAAAATAATTGAAAAAATAAATTTTTAGTTTTTAGTCAATATATATCACTTATTAATAAAATGTATTTATTTAATATCATAANCTTNAAAAATANNGTTTATNACTCAAATATACAAAATAAAAAATTGAAAATATGAACTGAATTTTATAGGTTTAAGGTAATTATAAGAGTAAGTGAATATTTATAGTAAATTTTTTTATTTTCGTTTTTAAAAAAGAAATAAAAATATTATTTTCTAATGATGTTTGGTTGGAAAGATTATGTGATTGTGTAGTGTTTGGATAATAGGATAGTCGAGAATTAATAGGATTGTGAAGTGTTTGGATAATAATATAGTAGAGAATTAATAATAGGAATTAATTTTTAATTAAAAACTTCAAAAAATTGAGAGTTTGACACCTAAGCAAATTAATCCAAAAATGTTTTTCCTTTAATATATAAAAGATACTAATTTGACCCAAAAAAAAGAAGTTTTAATACTATTTAAACCCAATGAATTATTCACCAAAATGCTAGTTTCGTAAAACTCGAGAGAATAATTATGAGTTGTTTGATAAAAGATATAATTAATTAAGGGATCTCTACTTCGACTATAGTATCCGAATTGTCAAATTAAAATTCTTAACCACACTAAACCAGACAAACTAATTACGATATTTTCTGTACCGAATAACTAAACCACACTAAACCAGATATAATTGAGTAAAATTTTCTTAAAATATACTCAATGAATTGTGATTGTATGTCATAAATTGTTGTTTGATTTGTAAATGTGGATTTGTGCATATGAGGTAAAATTAGTTACTTACTCTGCATTGAAATTTGCTGATGAATTAGCACAATAATGAGAAAAATCTATCCAAAAACTAAGAAAAACTTCAAGTTTAAAATACATGTTATTAAAAACTGAACTCAACCAAAACTTTTAACTGCACCATTAACAAATTGGAATTAGATTTTATAAAAATAACAATAAAAATCCGAATTAGAGACTGTTATATAAAAGAGTGGTGTGGTAAAAACAATTGTGTGTGGTCCGTATCAAAGGAACGTGCGACCATGAAATAGACACAAAACTAAGAAGAAGAAGCTCACACACATTCGATAGTGCCCAAAATTAAGAAAAATTAGACGGTTCTCTAAGCTTATTTTGAAGAAGAGGTTTCCTTAATTACTACAAATATTTTGCTCAAGAGATAAATTATTTCGGAGAATAATTATTAACACTAGAAGGAAACTTATGTGGTTGGAATCTTTGGATGCTTTAATTAGAGAATAATTATATAAGAAGAAAAAAAAACCATTTGAGTATTCTATTATGATTAGTCTCAAATTATATGGATTTGGTACAAAGCCCGACATACGTATCACTTGGTCGCACGAGCACAATATTCGAATCTTTTTGTAGGTTTTATTTTACCAGTGCTGCCATTGCTTTTTTTGAAATGATAACTCTGATACATTAGGCACAAATTTAGTTGTATCACACCAAACAAATTTAGTTGTATCACACCAAATAATATATGGGCTTGCGACTTTATATCAAAAGATGATAATATGCGTTAATCGTTAGCTCTTTACTAATGAAAGCAGTTAAAAAGAAAGAAACATTTATTGTAAGAAAAAGTTTTGTTGAATGAAATTTTACATTAATTCAAAATAAATAAATGAAAGCAGTTAAATACGTACTGAGGTTTATTTTAAAAATGTAAATAAATACTAAGAACATTATTGACCATTTATCAAATCTACCTACTTATAAGTACAAGTTAGTAAATATCAACATCAACAATATTTGAGGTAAATTTCTTGAAATACTTTTAACTAGTAATGGAAAAAAATATATAGTTTCAATCACCGTGGTAGTTGTTGAGAAGTTACTTTCTAAGATTTCTTACAACTGTGCTTGGCATTTATTATTTTCTTACACTTGTTAAATAGTAATCGCATATAATCGAGAATTATAAAAATCGGTCTTTAGCAAACGGGTAAAGAGGCATGTCCCTTTTTTTTTGTATTTTCGATTTTCTACATTTCATTTCATTAAATCAAGTAAAAGTATTCAGAAATTTTCGTTTTTATATATCAACTATATAACGGAAATTTTAAACTAAATATGGCGAAACATTTTCTGAAAATTTGAACATGAAATTAAAAGTATGTCACAAAAAAAAGGTAGGAATACTGTAGAGTATCCCAATTATTGCATGTTTATAGGTTTTTGTTTTTAGAGACATTTCCATTTGTAAACAAGTTGAGTAGTCTATCATGGTTTCGTGTGTTGGACAATAAATCTTTTTATTTCATATATATTATTTATAGGAACAAATCAAACAAAACAATTCAAACAAGTAAATAGATCTAGTAGAATTGATGGAAAAATCTACAATTAATATATGCGTGATTCAACGGTGCTCTCTTTAATTGCTCACATGAGTTTTGCACTCACTGCATTCTCTCTCTCGTTTTCTTTTTTTCTATTTTCATATAATTATCCCAAAAAAAGTTTATTCAATATCATACGCAAATTAAGCAAAACAGAGAAAAATTATGCAAAAGACAAAATAATGTAGGTGTTGGTAAATAAAGTTAAAAATGTACGTAAGAAAATGATGTATTTATTTCACAACAATGGGTTTTCAACATCAGATTGACTCTGTTTATATACTTTTTCTACTTTCAGTTTATATCTCTGAAACTCTAGAATAATTGATTCTTCAAGGACACTGTCTCTCAGAATCATACCTTTACATTCTTGTACAATGCATGGATCATATTTTTTTACTAATAGTAAAAATTACCTTAGAAATTCATCAAAATAGTAATAAGATGGCTAAAAAAATGAAATGAAACCTAAAATCTTATTTATAAAAATCATCCTAAAAGTCAAAGTCGAAATAGATGAGAAGAAGATTTGACATGACGAGCCAATGGACAAGAATGTAGTACCGTCAATCAAATTTT